AATGCCTTTGTTTGGTCTTGGAATCAGGCTAATGGACTCGTAACATGAGGTTGGGAACCTCCTCTCCTCTTGAATTTTTTTTAGACTAATTTGAGGATAGGTATTAATTTCTTTTTGAATTTTCTTAAAATTCACCTGTGTCAGTTCTTTCATCACCATATATTTGATCCCATTTATCCTCATCTACACTTGAAACCTATGTAACTTTACTAACCATTGTCACCCAAAAAAAAATCTAATTAAAAAAAATTCACCTGTGAAGCCATCTGGTCCAGGACTTTTTNTGGTAGTTATAATTGGTATGAGTAATAAGAAGACTATTGTATATCTGTCTCCCAGTCTTGTCTGAACACATCTACAATTTGAAATTCCTATGAATTTGGGGATAATTACTAAGTACCTTCTGATACATGTGTCTCTATATGCAGGATGAACCCATAGCTTCTGTGAGCCCAGAAGCTCTAACACTTGTGCAACTTTTGAGATTCATTCCTTCTATGCTTTGCATAGAGCAGCTGCTGTGTCCCTACAAAGTTGACTAGAAGATAGTCAGAAATCTCCAGAGCGCTCTCTCTTGTAGTTAACTTTCTTCTAGGATGTACACGTGGTATTTTAGGAAATAAAGACTTATTTTGCTAGTTGGGGATGGACGAGAGTCTGTTGCAAACAGTAACCCTCAACAATATCTCCCTGCATTCGAACCTTAGGTAAATGAAATGTATATAGCCCTAGTCATAAATACTTTAAGAGTAGCAAAAATACCTGATACTGAAAAAGGTGTCTAAAGCATAATTAAAAACCACTAATAGATGGAGTTTTCTCCAATCCATTTTGTAGAACTCATCAATCTAATTTGATGCACAGATGTTTAATCCAGGGAATTTCTTTTGAAGACATATTTTTGGATAACAGTTAATTTATGAGGAATTCAGCTCAGTCACCCTCAAAGACTGATGCATGCTACTTTTGAATAACCTCTCATAGGTTGCTGATTATAGCCACCTGACTTTTCTCAAACTTCCCCGGCTTTCTCAAACTTTCCTAGAAAGTATTGTCAGATTTTCAGTATGCTGCAAGAGTTTTGAAAAAAGCACTTTGCTTGCATTATATGGCTGGACTTTTTTTTCAAGCTTTACTGAGGTATATTTTGACTTATCTACTTGCTTCCAAAACATAGAGTATGGAAAGGGAGAAAATGGTCACTTTTCGGTGGATAAAGCTGGAAGACATTATCTTAATCAATTAATCAAGGTTAACACCCATTAGTAAGTCATCTTGATATCATGTGCCCCCTGTTATGAAGTGATGTAAAAGGCACTTCTTATTTGCAATATTCTTCCCCAAAATCCCTAGCTCCAATCTAATCATCAGAAAAAATCAGACAAACCTGAATTGAGGGACATTCTGCAAAATACCTGGCCAGTACTCTTCCAAACTGTCCAGATCATGGGAAACAAAAAAAGTCTGAGAAACTGTCACAGACCAGAGGAGACTAACGACACATGACTAAATGTAATGCGGTAACTGGGAAGGTGTTGGGATGAAGTTCCAGAGAGTAGTTTCCAGGCTCTCGGCCTCACGTGGAAAGGTGCTGGCTCGGTTATGTAGCCTGCACGTGCAAACACTTATATAACTAGTTGTCCATCAGTTGTAACCATTTGGCCATCAGCTGTAACCAGTTAGCCATCAGCCACTATTCTGTTTGCTATATAACTGCCGTGGCTACGTTAGCAAGCACATATGTTGCAGGTTTAGCAGATTGTACCTCCTGTGTCTCGCCCGGCCGCCGAGACTGTGGTGCAAGAAGACCACTTGTTGGGCTATTGGCGGCTGTTTGTTTCTTGTATCTCCACCGGCCACCCTCGAAAATATAGTGGTATGAACCCCCTATCCATTGGCTCTGTTGTTGCTTTTCGGTCTCACCATATCCACAGTTCACCTGCCGGGAGCTGAGCTCCTGTGTTGCACCTGGTGTTACAGAAGGGACCTTGAAACCAAAAAAGGACATTAGTGGAAAAATGTGAAATTGAACTAATCTAGAGTTTAATTAATAGTAATGTACCAATGTTGATTTCTTAGCTGTGACAAATGTACTGCTGTGAGGTAAGATGTTAACAACAGGGGAAACAGAGAGACAGCTATCTGGGAACCCTTCTGTAGTATAGCTGCAAATTTTCTATAAATCTAAAATTATTCCAAAAGTGAAGTTTATTAAAATAAAAAACTAAAAATAAAACATTTTAGTGGTCCCAAAACTTAATACTGTGAGATCAATCAGTTTTGACTGTCTACTTTGTGTCCAGCCTGGAGGTGAGCACTATGTGGGAGACATAAGCAAAAGGCATAGCTCCTACTTTCAGGTGCTTTATAAACTAACTAATTGAAGAGATGAGACTTTGACATGTGAAGAGATTAGCAAACATTGGTATTTCATGTATTTGATTAAGCTCTATACTGGGTGATACAGGCTATAGGAAGTCAGAGTGAGAGGGCTGGAGTGGCCACCGAGGACTTCACAGAGGGGAGTGAACCTGGGTGAGCGGTTAGACCTGCATCAGTGGAGTTAGGGAAATCTTGCAGTTGAAGGGAACAGAGAAAAAGGCCTGCAGTTTTAGGCAGAACAAGCTTAGGGTAAAGTAAAGGCAGCCTGATCTGATGGAGGACCAGGAGGGGTGGGGAATGCATATTTATAGAGAGGTCCTCCTTATGCAGAATATTTTTAAACAAATATTTACTTATTTTTTTCTTTTTAATGGAAATCACCTGAAAAATAATTTTGTTTAGTACATTCTGGATTTTTCTTGACCATGTAGTGTTATTATANATGAATGATGCAGCTAGAATTCAAACTTAGATCTGTCTTACTCTGAAGCTTGTATTATTTCTATTAAACCACTGCATTGTTCATTTTCCTGTTTATTCAAAGATTCCATATTTATTATTTTCTTCTCCATTCTGTATTGTGGGGAGCTGACCTCAGCAAATTACATTTCCTAGTCTACATTGCCAACTGGCTGCCTATTAAGTTTGGCCCATAATAGGAGGCACTGGTTGGAAGAGTGGAGGACAGGAGGAGAGAGGAAAAGCCAAAGTATCCCCCTCCTTTCTGTTTCTGGAGGGTTCATGACAGTGGCTGAATCTCCTTTATGGTACCAGCTGTAACAGGTATCCCAGCTCCTGGGTTCTGTAATACCACCTTCTCCACTTTTCCTTCTGCCCTAGATGCAGTAGCAGCTTCCTGCTGTTGCTAATCTCTGGGTTCCCTCACCATCACAAGTTTGCCTTTAGCTCTTTAATGTTTTGTAAGTAATTCTTCATATTGGGTTGTCGGAAAAGTCATGATGCATTTTTGCAATGAAAACATAGAAACAATACATTATGAGTTTTCCGACAACCCAATATTAAATTCCCTTGTTTAAACTATGTCAAGGCTTCTCAACCTTGGCACTACTGACTTCTTGGATTGGGTAATTATTTGTTGTTGGGGGGCTGCCCTGCACATTTTAGGATGTTTAGCAGCATCCCTGGCTTCTATCCTTGAATAGCAGCACCAGTAACACCCTCCTAGTTGTGTAAAACCAAATATATCTCTAAACTTTGCCAGATACCCCTGGGGGAAAAATTACCTCCTGTTGCAAAACACTGAACTATGGCCTAGGTTCCTATTTCTAGACTGGAATGTGACTGAAACAACTACCCTAACTGCATAGGTAAGGCTCTGATATAGAAGATACTAAATTTGTAAGAGCAATCTTTGTTCTCAAAGAGCTTATGCTGTGTATATGAAGAACTAAAACACATTTCCATGAAATGATAAATAATATGATACCAATATATGGTAGAATACATTCTGGATTAATGTTAGCATCACAGAGATGTAAAAGAATTATTTATTTTTCCTTAAGGTAATTTCTATAGAAGAAGCAGTCTATGTCACAGTCTGTTTTGTTTCCTCTTGTATTCTTAGCACCAAGAACAGTGATTGGGATGTAGTAGATGCTCAATGCATATTTGTAAATAAATTAGTCTGGCTTAATTGAGAAACAAGTCTTCTTTCTCTGAGTTACAAACCTGTTTGTGTTTGTAAGTACAAGACCAACAAATGATAATATGCTTTGATCCCAAAATACTTAGAGACAGCTAGATTCTCCTGTGCAGCATTTTATGATCAGATTTCAATAAAACTGAAGACATATTTTTCTTCACATGAATTTCAAGACTGACATGCATTGTTTTTGTTGTTTTGATAATGGTAAGAAATGTCTCTTGTATGACTATTGGATTATTTTACCTANTTCATGTCATTCAATATTTACTTTGGTATTTAGGTGCTCCTATGTTGAGTGTATAGATATTTACTAGGGTTATGTCCTCTTGTTGGATTGATTCCTTTATTATATAATTTCCTTCTTTATCTCTTAATTTCCTTCTTTATCTTTTATTATAGTTTTTGTTTTAAAGCCTATTTTGTCTTATATATGTTTTGCTACTCCAGCTTTTTTCTCATTTTCATTTGCATGAAATATATTTTTCCTTCCCTTTAGTTTCAGTCACTGTGTCTTTTGTACTGAGTTGGTTCTCTCATAGACAGCATATGTATGGGTCTTGTTTTCTTATCTATTCAGCTACCCTATTTGTTTTGATTACAGCATTTAATCCATTTACATTTAAACTGGTTATTGATAGGTGCATAGTTATTGTCATTTTATTATTCGTATTATTAATCTTCTTTTGTATGTTTATTTGTTTTCCCCCTTCTTTTTCTTCTTAAAGAAGTCCTTTTAGCATTTCTTGTAATACTGGCTTGATTGTAATGAATTCACCTAGCTTTTTCTTGTCTTGAAAGCTCTTTATCTCTCCTTCAATAATTGTTACATAAAGTAGGTTTCTGATCCCTTGCTTGCTCTCTTTTACTTCTGTTTGTTTATTAAAATTAATTGGGGGCAATGATCAATAAAACTACATAGGTTTCAAATGTATAATTCTATAATTCATCATCTATGACGTATGACAATTACTATCGCAGACTTGCCACTATGCACTTACATCGGCAGGACTGTACAAACGGCTTGGTAAGGTTTCATAACCTTGGTATATCAGTGCCTCACAGTTGTGTTCATGTCAACATGTGGTTGTGTCTTGCTGAGTAACATCCATTATTGTTGTTGCGTGTTTTTTGTGCCATCACGAGAATGTCTGAGCTTGAATTAGAGCAACAAACAAACATTAAGTTTTTTGTTAAACTTGGCAAGAGTGGAAATGAAATCAGGGACATGTTAGTCCAATTTTATGGGGATAATGCCATGAACAAAATGGCAGTGTACAAATGGATTCAATGTTTTTCTGAGGAGAGGGAATGTGTCACTGATGAAGAGTGGTCAGGGCAGCCAGTAACGAGCAGAACTGATGAAAATATTGGAAAAATTCATCAAGTTTTGCGTCAAAATCATTGGCTGACTGTGAGCAGCAGAGCAGACCAAGTAAACATTGGTAGAGAAACGGTTAGGAGAGTCTTAAATGAAAACCTTGGCATGAGAACGGTATGTGCAAAAATCGTCCCAAACGATCTCAACGATGAACAAAAGCAAAGGACAGTCAAAGTTTGCCAAGACCTTTTGGAGAGGCAAGATGATATTTTGGGCCATGTTATTACTGGTGATGAAACATGGGTGTACCTATATGACCTGAAACAAATAATCAAAGTCCACAATGGAAGTTAGCCAATTCTCCACAACCAAAAATCTTTGGTCAGTCCAAATGAAGAGTCAAAACGATGTTGCTAATTTTTTTTTTATATCTGAGGTATTATTCATTATGAATTTATACTAACTGGACAAACAGTTAACCAAGTTTACTATTTGGAAATGCTGAAAAGGCTGTGTGAAAAAGTTAGATGAAAATCACCTGAACTTTCCTGCATAGCTCTTGCATCACAGCAACGCACTAGCTTACCTGGCACTGTCTGTGAGGAAGTGTTTCAACAGTAAACAAAAAACTGTATTGGAATACCCTCCCTATTCACCTGATCTGGCCCCCAATGACTTCCTTCTTTAACCAAAGATAAAGGAAATATTGAAGGGAAGACATTTTGATGACATTCAGGACATCAAGGGTAATATGATGACAGCTCTAACGGCCATTCCAGAGTTCCAAAATTGCTTTGAAGGGTGGACTAGGCACTGGTGTCAGTGCATAGCTTCCTGAGGGGAGTACTTAGAAGGTGATTGTAGTGATATTCAGCAATGAGGTATGTAGCACTTTTTTCCAGGATGAGCTTGCAAACGTAATTGTCAGCCCTCGTATCTTTATGGATAAATGTTTTCAGTTTTTTTTTGGTAGATACCCAGGAGAGGGATTGCTGGGTCATATGGTAATTCTAATCTTAATTTTTTGAGGAACATCCATACTGTTTTCCATAGCGGCTGTATCAATCTGAATTCCCACCAACAGTGTATGAGGGTTCCTTTTTGTCCAGTCACTCCAACACTTGGTATTATTTGGCTTGTTGATGATAGCCATTCTAACAGCTGTGAGGTGATATCTTGTTGTGGTTTTGATTTGCATTTCCCTAATAGTTAGTGAAGGTGAGCATTTTTTTTTCATATATCTGTTGGCCATTTGTATTTCTTGTTGGGAGAAGTTTCTGTTCATGTCCTCTGCCCATTTTTTAATTGGATTGTTTGTCTTTCTGTTGTTGAGTTGTATGAGTTTCTAATACAGTTTGGATATTATCCACTTATCAGAGGCTTTGTTTGCTAACATCATCTCCCATTTGGTTGGTTGCCTCTGTTTTGTTAAGGATTTATCTTGCTGTGTAGAATCTTTTTAGTTTTATGTAGTCCCATTCATTTATTTTAGCTTTTACCTCCCTTGCCTTTGAGGTCAAATTCATAAAATCCTCTTTGAACCCAAGGTCCATAAGTTTAGTACCTGTGCTGTCTTCTCTGTAGTTTATTGCTTTAGGTTTTATGTTTAGGTCTTTAATCCATTTTGATATTTTGATTTAATTTTGGTGCATGGTGACAGATAGCAGTTTAGTTTTATTCTTTTGCATGTGGCTTTCCAATTTTCCCAGCACCGTTTATTGAAATGGCTTTCTTGGGGAAGGCCGAATGGTTAAGAGCATGAGCTCTGAGTAAAAGGGTCGCCAGTTCAATTCCCACATGGGTAGTGAGCTGCGCCTGAGCTGAGATGCCATTGAGCTGCCAACAGGTGTCAGGGTGGCTCAGCTGGTGAGAGCATATGATCCTAACAACAAGGTTGCTGGTTCAACATCTGCATTGCATGGTGGACTACGCCCACCTGCAAGTAAGATTGAACATGGCACCTTGAGCTGAGTGGCTGCAAGCTGCCGACTGGTGGCCAGATGGTGACTGGACTTGGAGCTGAGCTAGCTATTTCCTCCACAACTAAGATTGAAGGACAACGACTTGACTGTTCCCCTTCCCCAATTTAAAAATTTTAAAGATTTTTAAAATCTTAAAAAAAAAGGCTTTCTTTTCTTCATTGTATATTTTTAGCTCCTTTGTCGAAAATTATCTGTCCATATTCATGTGTGTTTATTCTGGGTTTTTAATTCTATTTCATTAGTCTGTGGTCTGTTTTTCTGCCAATACCATGCTGTTTTGATTATTGTTGCTCTGTAGTCAAGCTGAAGTCAGGGAGTGTGATACCGCCAGCATTATTCTTTTTTCTTAGGATTGCTTTCATCATTTGGGGTCTTTTGGGATTCCATACAAGTCTGATGATTTTTTGTTCTATTTCTTTAAAAACAACATTGGAATTTTGATTGGGATTGAATTAAATCTGTGTGTTGCTTTGAGTAATATGACCATTTTAACTATGTTGATTCTTCTAATCCTTGAACACAGAATGTCTTTCCATTTCTTTGTGTCTTCTTCAGTTTCTCTTAAATACGTCTTTTAGTTTTCAGTGTATAGGTCTTTCACATCCTTGGTTAAGTTTACTCCTAGGTATTTTATTCTTTTTGTCATAATTGTGAAAGGAATTGTTCTTTTTTATTTCATTTTTCTGAAATTGCATTGTTAGTATATAGGAATACAATGGAAATTTGTACATTGATTTTGTAGCCAGCAGCTTTACTGTGTTTGTTTATCATTTCTAATAGCTTTTTGGTGGAGTGTTGAGGGTTTTCTGCATAAAGAATCATGTCATCTGCAAAAAGTGACAATTTAACTTCTTCATTCCCAATTTGGTTACCTTTTATTTTTTTTGACTGATTGCTCTGTTTAAGACTTCCAATACTGTGTTGAATAACAGTGGTGATAGGGGGCAACCCTGTCGTGTTCCTGAATGTAGAGCAACAGGCTTCAGTTTTTCTGTTAATTATGATATTAGCTGAGGTTTTTTCATATATGGCCTTTATTACAAGGTATTTTCCTTCTATTCCCATTTTATTAAGTGTTTTCATCATAAATTGATGTATCTTGTCAAATGCTTTTTCTGCATCTACTGATATAATCATATGACTTGTATCTTTAATTTTTTTGTGCAGTATATCACGTTGATTGATTTTCTTGTGTTGAACCATGCATGTGTCTTTGTGATGAACTCCATGTGGTCATCTCACTTCTCTTTCTGCTATTCCTGTTATGCAAATGTTATGCTTGTTGTTATCCCAGAGGTCCCTTAAACTATCTTCATTTATTTTTTATTCTTTGCTTTTCTGTTGGGGTGTTTTCTGCTACCTTGTCTTCCACATCTCTGATTCGGTCCCCTGCTTCATCTAATATGCTGTTTATTGTGTATTGTTCACTTCAGTTGTTGTGTTCTTTATTTCTGACTCATTCTTTCTTCTGGTTTCTATGTCCTTCTTTATGCTTACTCTCTTCATTGAAGTTCTCACTTGGCTGCTTAAGTATTCTTATAACCAGTGTTTTAAAATCTGTCTCCTTTGTTTTGGTTGCCTCCAGTTCATTTAGTTCTTTTTCTTGAGTTTTCTGTTGTTCTTTTATTTGGGACATTTTTCTTTGTTTACTCATTCTCATTGCCTCACTGTGTTTGCTTCTATGTACTAGGTAGATCTCTTATGTCTCTCAGATATTGCTAGGTGTCCTGTGTCATCCAGTGGCACAGACTCTCTGATCGCCTGTGTGTGTGTTCCAGGAATGTCCCTTGCGTGTGTTGTATGTATTGTCCTGTTGGTGTTGAGCCTTAATTGATTTTGGTGCATCAGTGGGTTGGATTGACTGTTTGGCTGACTGGCTGTGCAGATTAGCTTTGCCCAAAATGAATGAGCTGCTGTGTGGGAGCTGAACCTTCAGAGGGAGATACATCCTGGTACACTCCTGTGTGTGTTGAGACCAGCCTTTGGATGTGTCACTTGTGGGACCAATCAGGTAGTGCTCTGGTGTGTTCTGAAGCCAGCCACTGGGTATGTTGTTTCTTGTACCTCTTAGTAGGGCTTCCATGTAGGCCAATTTTAGCCTTGCCTGTGACTGGCCTGGGGCTGTGTGGTAGGAGCTACAAAGCTATATGCAATTGGTTGCTGCCTGTGTTGGAAGAGAGGCATGTGTGGGTGGCCCTTGCTGTGAACCGAGGTTCCCTGCCATCAGTATCGGGTCTGGGGCAGCTTAGCAAAAATGCCCAGGGCCCTCCTAGGCCTGTTGCCATGTGCCAGCTGACCTTACAGCTCAGCGGCTGAAAGAGCCTCCTTAGGTGCACAGTCTGGGCTCTTTGACCCAGTGTTAACAATGCCTCCACATGCTGCCTGATTTGGTTTGGGCCAGGGATTCATGGATTATGGCTGGTGATTTTCACAAAGTAAATGCACCAGTTTTTGCACCAGTACTGAGTCTGTGGCCACCCTGCAAATGCCCCAAGAACACTGTAGCTAGCTGTCCTTTGCCTTCAGCCTACAGAACAACAGGAGCTGCACCAGAAAGGCTGCAGCATGAGCAGGGACTGACAACCTGCCACTGAAAGCTTCCTTGGTCATTATGTGCTGCCCGCTGCTGAACTAGTACAAGCCTCCAGCAGCTTGTGGGACAGGGCTGGCTGCCCAGGGCTGATGCAGAATCTTGAAAAAAACTAGTTAGAGTGGGGCTGGAAT